GTTCAAGTCTTTGTAGTATATGGTAAAAATATTCATTTACACCGCTATGCCTTAGCTGGTAGGAAAAAATGTCAGCCCCATATCAATTTTTGATAATTTTTTTATGCATTTTTTAGCAAATTTATCTATGAAATTTAGAGAATATGAAAAAATAATGGAAATGCCTCCATTTTCATATTGTTCCAACAGGATGTGAAGTTCTTATATCATTTTTAAAATAAATACAAAAGAAAACTAATTTTATCAGATAAAATACATATTAGCCATTTTTCAATAATTTGGCGGCCATCTTGGCGGCCATCTTGGATTTCTCAAAACGTACCATGATTTGACATGTCTACCCAAAATTTTTGTGAACTTCAAACATTTAGCTTTACATTGGTATAATATTTATCCATGGACCTTTTTTGCACACAAAAGGTCCTCAGGGACTGTACTATTGTAAAAACATTATTAAACACATGTTTGATATTTCTAAAGAATTTAATAAAAACAGATCTCTGAGGCATAATGTGCCTTTTAATGTATGCTCTACACACAAATTTAGTATAAACTTTTTAAAAGGTAAATAACTACAAAATTTACATACGGCATATACCTCAATAAGATATTTCTACCAAAAACGTTTCATGTAGATGCATTGAAATGTGTACGAGTTGTGTCCCGGCAATAAATAAAATATGTAAATTTACAATGCCTGATGGACAATAACGCTAAAAATGTGCACAAAACAGCAATTTACCTCAATGGTTCGAAACAACAATTAAGCATTGCAAACTTTAAAGGGCTTTAAGTCTAAAATGTATTATAAGCGGGTATGGTTTTTTAAAGTTCAATGAGATTTATTTATCTATGAATTTTCAAGTTCTTAACTTCCACACTTCAAAAATAAACCTGGGGGACAAAACTAAATATGAAAAGGCCAAAGGAAAACTAAGGTGATTCTTAAATAATTACTTTCTTTACAACTTTGTTGTATGAGTGTATAATTACTGATATGATTGTGGTTTTAGAGAACAGGTGCTATATTGAATACGTACACAAAATACAAAAATACTTATCTTTGTATATTATACAAAACCATACTAAGAAAACTATATACATATACAAAAAACACATCTCTTGATGACCCTAATTCGCCATTTTTCACGTCAAAGTAGCATGATAATATCCCATCCTTCTGGATGTATCCTTATTGTGTTACATGAATGTATGAATGTATGTAACTTTCTTTATTACATATACATAGGTAAGTTATATACATGTCATTTTCTGATCACTGAATATAAACTATGTACATGCAAATAAACATACTTGTTTGACAATCAGATACACAGTTACTCAAACACAAAAAATGGTAAGACCTTATAGATAACTATACACATCTGCATATACATGAGCGGAAAATAAAACAACATTAAATTTGACTAGAGCATGGATATTCAATACATTAATATATTATGTACAAATATACAGATCAACTTAAAATTGATAAACACATATGACACAACCAATAAGGGTTTGTATTTTCTTTAAAGTATGGACATAAGTAAACTTAATGAAGAAAGCTTCGGTTAGAAATCTATATTTACACTACCGCCGTTTTATCTAGGTCATAAAACTTGTTAAATTTTTATCATTAATGATAAATTTTATCTTATTTAAGATATAACCAATAACAAAATGCAACAATTACACACTATTTCTCTTTATTCTCATTCGTTTATAGCTGTTCAGCAATATTTTAAATTTCCTATTTGTCATATAATTTTATGCATTTATCAAAATTAAAGGGTCCTACAAATTAATGACAAAAATATCAAAATGATCTTATGAACTCAAATCACGCTAAAGTGGCATTTTTTTTAAATCCTAGCATGATTTTCTGCATTTAATTCTACATATTTCGGGTTTGAAGCGTAAATATATCTTTATACGTTGAAAGAAATTTAGAAGCCGACAGAATCCCAGAGTAGTTTTAAAACAAGTTTTGTGACATGTACAAACCCTGGAAGTTACAACAACAGATATTGTGGATATTTTATGATTGAAACAAGTCTAAGTAATTTATTTGATATGTTCTTTAAAGTTGCCAACGTTCACTGTGACAATTAATGTGAAATCTTAACGCTCATACCTGACCCAGGTGGGTCAGGTTAGAAAACCATCATTTAATACTTTATAATGAGAAAAGATTTGTTCCTGTGACTACCTAGTGTATTTTTTTTAGGGCAATTACAGAATAATAAATGAAAATTTTAAATGTATCTCCCTTTAAACTATTGTACAGAATTCAAATATTATTTGCTTTCTTTACAATTAGTCATCATGCAATATATGCTAAACTATTTCACTCTAACATTGCAGAACATAATGTTATATGTATATCTAAATAAATAAAAGAAAAACAATTTTACAGCTACATTTCTCCAGATGAACAAAAATGGTTCAAGAAAATCAAACTTGAGAAAAATGTACTAAGACTTTTAGAAAATAAAAATATTCAGGATTCAAGTAATAATGTTCCATGTTATGACGGATTTTGCAGTACTTACTACGGTACATATTTCTACTGCGTAACTAACGTAGAATTTAAGACCTATTTATTGCATATTTAGTCCTCATTTCTGTTATTAACGTGGATGTTAAGTGTCATTTGCAATGTATAAATTATTTCATTTCTTCACTTCACAATATCATAGTTTTAAATACATTTTCAAAATGTTAATGAAAATCAGCATGAATCTGGAGGCATGGTGCTTCAATCATTATTGTTATTATCTTTAAAGTGAATTGGTCTATAATGTAAGATTTATAAGTGCCAAAAATAAATGTTGAAAGTATTTAGTATGATATGTTAATGTAAACCACCAAAGAATTGTATATGGGTGTTGTTGGTAAGTGTTAGATATGACATATAAGTACATGTATATAGCATGTAATAATAAGTGTTTTAGAACAAAATATTATAACTCACCATATATATTCATTGTGTTCAACCTAAATGTCTTTAGAACTCTATCAACATTCTTGTTTTCAGTAAAATTTTATAAGAATACCCAAAAGACACATCTAATATGTTCTTATCAATAGTTGTGCCCACTGTAGGCCAATCCACTTTAATAACAAGCATTTTTTTACAAGTTTCATTTTGTTTCTAAAAGTATAAAAGTAGTTCACAAACAAGAATTTCTGAAGGAACTCTTAAATATTTGACAGCGACCTTAGTAGAGCAAAGGGGAGGGGGAGAAAAAAACCCTCCTCCGTGAGCAAAAAACCTCCTCCGTCGAGCAAAGAACCTTAATATTACTACGTTTTGATACAATGACTATCGTGCGTGCGTGCGTGCGTATGTGTTCACGCAAAAAAACTAGGGGTGCTAGGCGTTTACCAGTAGAGCCAAAATGAGGACGCTACGAGAGTTAGGAAACATTTTGAGGAAACTTTTTGATGAGGAAACATTTTTGCGGAAACTTAAATGAAAGCACTAAGTGAAAAAAGGAAATATTTTGAATGTAGAAGGAAATGTTGTTGTTTTTAAACGCTACTTAAGGCGTTAAAAGTTAATTTCCATGTTTGGTTCAGTGGTACGGAATTTCTAAAATAAAAAAAATGGCTGTTAATCAATTGATTAACATTACTATGGAAGAAAAAAATAACAAAAATCATTGGAGAGGACAAACCATGCGCTCCAAATAGAGAATTGGGAATTTAGCGAAAGAAACCAACAATTACGACAGCAGGTTTGTTATGTAATTTATTTTACATACTATTAACTCTCTGATAAATGTTAGCTGTTAAATTATCACTTTAAAAGTTGATTCTAGATTTCAAATTTATCAGAAACATCCGTGTTTATACTGAAATAATTAGATAATGATTTCTTATTTCTTCATTCAGATGCGAACTCTCGAAATTCAACTAATGGCCACAAGGAACGAGCTGTTTTTGTGTAAACAACAATTGGAACAAAAACAACCCAAGAACTGATATATATATTGGAGGAAAACCGCAATCAGGTAACTTAATATTCACTTCAATATTTACCTATGTGATAGAAGTGTAAAGGTCTTTATTATCTATCTTCGCTACATATCGGCAATGCTGTTTTCAACGAAAAGTTAATATGATTATGTCGTCTGTGTGCATAACTTGTGATAAAAACTTTGGCATATTGAAATGTCTCTGTCACTACTAAAAAAATTACTTCAAACTTGGAGTTATTAAGTTAACCATCGAATTTTCGTTTCAACTATTAGAATAGCTTTATTCTCTCTAAATACTCTGATATTTTCTCTCTGCAGCGCAACTATCTTTTGCATAAGCAGGGCATCCTGCTAGACAAAGTGGCTACTTTATTGGATCTGACGACTAATTTTGAAAAGAAGTAGGTATTTCCTTCAATAGATTAATATTTATATCACATGATTCATGGGAATGATCAATTATCATTATTCAGATTAAACAATCATTTTACTGGTCAGCAGTACGGTTTGAATCCTCAACTCAAACCAAATAAGAAGCTATAAAATTATAGCAGAACCACTATTGCAGACTTTTCTACAAATGAATGTCTAGGGTGAATTTCAATCAACAACCATTGAAACATTTCTATTTTTAATATACGGTAATCAATCTAAACTGCACTTTTTTACTTAAAGTATGTTCTATACTATATCAAAATTTGAGAGATAGTATAAAATTTAAAACAGTAAAATTAAAAAAAAAATGTTTATGAATTTTATTAAGTATTAAGATATCGGTATTTATTATGTTTGCAGGTAATGCAACCAGTGGTGAAGATTGAACGTTTGACTGAAATTTAATCTGAAATTGTTTTCCTTTAAGGTAATATCTTAATATCAATTAACATTGGCAAAATATATTTATCACCAATTAGGTTATCAGCACATGTAGATTATCTAGACAAAGTTAAACAACAAAGTAAATCAACTGAGCAAGAAAGTAACAGAAAATAACATATAAAAATTCCCTCATCTTTACTCCTCATCACCTTGTGTATAGTCAAGAGAGTAACATGGGGGATGAGAGGAGTGGCATGAGGAGTGGTGAGGAGTAACATGGAGGAGGTGAGGAGTGGCATGAGGGTGGTGAGGATTAACATGGGGGAGGTGAGGAGTGGCATGAGGTTGGTGAGGAGAAACATGGGGGAGATGAGGAGTGGCATGAGGGTGGTGAGGAGAAACATGGGGAGATGAGGAGTGGCATGAGGGTGTTGAGGAGTAACATCGGGAGGTGAAGAGTGGCATGAGGGTGGTGAGGAGTAACCTGTCGGAGGTGAGAAGTGGCATGAGGGTGGTGAGGAGTAACCTGTCGGAGGTGAGGAGTGGCATGAGGGTGGTGACGAGTAACATGGGGATGGGGAGGAGTGGCATGAGGGTGGTGAGGATTAACATGGAGGAGGTGAGGAGTAAAGATGAGGGATGTGAGGAGTAACATTAGGGAGGTGTGGAGTGGCATGAGGGTGGTTAGGAGTAACATGGGGAAGGTGAGGAGTAAAGATGAGGGAAGTGAGGAGTAACATGAGGGAGGTGAGGAGTGGCATGAGGGTGGTAAAGAGTAACATGGGAAAGGTGAGGAGTAAAGATGAGGGATGTAAGGAGTGGCATGAGGATGGTGAGGAGTGAATACTGGCAGAGTAGACGCTTAGAGTGCAAAGTGTTTGATATAATACCTAACCAACCAGAAAATTACTGACTTTCAAATGTAGAAAATGTTATCTAAAGTGAGACTGACATACCTTATTCAGTTTAGTCATCGTTTGGTTCTTGAAGAGTATGAACGCTCATTCGTAAAAATGAATATATTTCATACGCAGCGAGGAGCAACAAAAGAAAAAATAGTAGACTTTTGAAAGGGGGACATATTTGAAAACGTGGCGATGACAAGTAAAATGACTGGACGACCAAACAGTAAAACATCGCGATCTGAAATGTACATACGAATGGTACTTCTAGCAGAACAGATGACCGCTATAGCTAAAAGTATGCTCAGACGTCAAGCTTAACCTAAAGATTTGTCAATTATAGGTCAGAAAGAAATAAAACCTACCAGTGAAAAACGCAAACGTCAGAATTCAAAAGTTGGTGACAAAAGCAGAAAGAATAAAAAGCATAGACAGGATCCGCCATCTAGCGAAAGAAAGCATAAAGAGAACACGGGTAAAATCGACATCGCATCTTTAGGACAAGTATTTAATTGAAGACTTCACTCACTCCTCCTCATTCTTGTTTAAAAACTTTGAGGAGTGAGGACGATGTTTCAGTGCGGTATTTGTTTGGAAATATTTTGTGAGAAAGGATAATATGTTACGTCATAAAAAACAGCGCATTCAGAACAAGACCCGAATGAAAACATGATGTCAAACATCCACTCAGAAGAGGACGCGATGTCAGACGTATCAGTGAAAGAGGATATTTTTGCACCCATAGAAGACAATGAGTCTAGTCATAGCGAGAATGAAGATGACGCATCTGTCATTGCTGACCGATCCTTGGGACAACATTGGAGATGAAGCGTTTCAAAAGTGCCAGTCGCAGTATGACTCCATGGTAAATGAGCTTATGAAGGATGATACCGACATCAGTCTGAGTGAAGCCAAGGAAAGGGCTTTCAGGAATATGAAAAGCACTACAGGAAAGCACTAATAAACAGTTTTGATAGTAAAGTGGTGTTATTTGAAGCAATGAAAAAGATCCTATTTATAAATCTATTAAATGACAGTGAATAGGTTGATTGATACAGATTGGTAAGACAATGGAGGAAGCTTTGAAATACGGTATACTCAAAAGGCAGTTTTTATTTGACAAGGTTCTAAATAGTAACGAAATTCCAGAGCTAGAAGGACAGGATGCTATGGAACAACAGGAAGACTCCGAATGATTGTGTAAAACCTGAAACGGATAGTGTTGTTGCATGTGAAAAAAAGAACCAAATAAACAATACATTGTAAAATGGACAAATTACCTTTCACACTTCAGCCCTTGTGTTAAAGCTAGAGGTTTTCAATGATGCATCTTTTTGTAAGACTGATTGTATTGTGCTTTCATTATGTTGTGTAAATATACTTAAAATAAATTTACGTAATACTGCAGTACTGTTTCTATGTTGGGTGTAAAACATTTTTAACTCAATGACACATTTCCTATTTAACGACAGTTTTATATACTATGTAGGTTCTTTCCTTCATACAGCAAAATACGTACGAACCCCACAGTCTGCGACATTTGCAGAAACTCGCCTGGACTTCCAGAAGTTAGTGCAGCTATGCGATTTCCTCCTCATTTATACACATATACATATGTACATTTTTGTGCCTTAGGATATAATGACATTTTTGACTTTAAGGGACTCTCCAGAGTCAAAATAATTGGTCTGCGACTGATTCTGGCACTATTGCAGTCTTTCAGGAGTTTTTTGGTGCCAATGCAGATAATGACATTTTTGACTTCTAGGTACTCTCCAGAGTCATAATAATTGGTCTGCGACTGATTCTGGCACTGTTGCAGACTTTCAGGAATTTTTAGTGACAATGCAGAAAATTTTAGTGACAATGCAGATGATGACATTTTTGACTTCTATGGACTCTCCAGAGCCAAAATAATTGGTCTGCGACTGATTCTGAGGCACTCGTAGACTTTCAGGTATTTTGGTGCCAATGCAGTTATGACATTTTTTACATCTAGGGACTCTCCAGAGTCAAAATAATAGGTCTGCGACTGATTCTGCCACTGTCGCAGACTTTCAGATTTTTTTTTGTGCCAATGCAGATAATGACGGTTTTGACTGCTAGGGACCTTCTAAAGTCCATTTTACTGGTCTGCGACAGTTTCTGAGGTACTCGCAGACTTTCAGGATTTTTTTGTGTCAATGCAGATAATGATATTTTTGCTTTCTAGGGACTCTTTAGAATCCATTTCAGTGGTCTGCGACAGTTTCTGAGGTACTCGCGGACTTTCAGAAATTTTGGTGTCAATGTAGATAATGATATTTTTGCTTTCTATGGACTCTTTAGAACCCATTTCAGTGGTCTGCGACAGTTTCTGAGGTACTCGCAGACTTTCAGGAATTTTTGGTGACAATGCAGATAATGATATTTTTGATTTCAAGGGACTCTTTAGAATCCGTTTTATTTGTCTGCGACTGACTATGAGGCACTCGCAGACTTTCAGGAATCTTGGTGCCATTCCTTTTCACTATCCATTTTGATGATGTTGTATTTTCACACTGATGTAATCTTATAGAAGCAACTTGCAAGCAAGATCGCATTTATATCCGACTGAACGAACGACCTAGATTGAAAAGTGTCTTTATCCTGTCACTTGTATCAATTTCGGCCCGATAACAAGGTGCCGTATATTTTTACTGATCTACGGCACTTGATCACGTGGTATGCATGTTTGCCGGACTACTTTTCAAGAAAAAAATATAAAAACTGTCGTTAAATCCTCTGTGTGTAGAATAACGAATTTTGGAAACGTTGATAAAACTTTGTTTGTTTATTTTATTTCACTCTATAATTTTTCAAGCGAAATAAAAATTAACTCGTTTGCGACATTAGAGTAGCGTACTTGATTTGATTGTTTTGCACGTGCTGTTTGGCGCTACATTGTGACGTCACGTAAACAATACTTTAAACGTCTGTACAGCGTTAACGACTGAATAAAAGATATTGGTGTTCGAATTCATTTTCTTAGTTAGACCATTTTCTTTCATTCTAGATAGTTTTCACAACAAAATTCGACAAAAAAATGTTTTTATTTATCACATTTTTCAAACAAAATGGCACCCTCAATGTGAAAATACACAGGGAGATAATAAGAACGGCGAATGCATTGTTGTAGAATAATGCACGCTTCGGACCTTTTTTGTTTATATAGAAACATTTCCTATATTGTGATTTAAGGTAGTTTGCCTAATAAAATTCTTAAAAAAAAACGGTGACAGGATAAATAGAATAATAGTTTGGTGCCGTGGATGGAGAAAGTTTATCTGGTTCACCCAATAAATTCCTCCGCCTCGCCAGATAAACTTTCTCCATCCACGGCACCAACCTATTATTCTCTATATTTAAAGCGGCAAATGGAAAAAAACCGAATGGAAACTATCAAGCGATTGGTACAAACCAAACGCAACGAGTCTCTTTCATTTTGCGTGAACACATACGCACGCACGCACGATAGTCATTGTATCATAACGTAGTAATATTTGCTCCACACAGGGAGGGTTTTTGCTTCATGCAGGAGGGTTTTTATCGCTCAAAGGAGGAGTTTTTTTGCTCAACGGAGGAGGTTTTTTGCTCAACGGAGGAGGTTTTTTTCTCCTCCCCCCCCCCCCCTTTTGCTCTACTGACCTTGGTTAGAAATTTTTGTTTAGATTTAAGTTCTTCTTGAAGAAAACAGGTTTGCCAAAAGTTGCTGGTCCGTTTTCGTTTCAGCCAGGCACTAGAAGCTTGAACAAGGTATACATGATGCACTGTTTTTTCACAATTTTCTTTCAGATATGTTGTTTAGTCTTTATATTGAACTCTCGTAGAAGCATTTTCATCAAGATTGTAACTGTAGATAATACTGAAGCTGATTTTCTGAAGAAAATAAAAGATAAACGGAATAAATGATACTATTGTGTAACAGTGTAGATATATTATACATGCAATAATATATGTGTTTTATGAAATTTCAGGTAGAAAATCCTGGATGTCAACTGATTCAGCAGCCAGAGTAAATCAACATAATTTTTGTATTAATTAGGTGATTAAGATTATGTATAGGCTTGTGTTTATTTGTAAGCATTTACAAAATTAAATTGGTCAAGAACGGTGAAGCAAAGTAAAGTTAACTAAAGTAAATAAAAGTAAAGTAAGATATTTATTATAGTGACATGTGTAAACATATTTTCTTAAATTAAATTATATAGCATGATAAATATACCAAACCTAAAGGGCCTTTAGTCATGTCACCTTCATTGAAAAAATTACATAAAGTATAAGTGATTATGTTTACATCCTCTTTTGTAAAAATAGTTGCCATGAAGTGATAGAAATTTGAATATGATATATTTAAATTTCACTTTACATGGATGACTATAAGTCCCCGACCTGACATACGAGTAGAACCAGAGACCTTCCGTTAGCAAATTGAATTAAATAATACATCTTTCGCCGGCCAGCTGAAAAGAATTATTTAAGCATATAAGCTAGTATACAAGTAGAATATAAGCAAACTGAATTGAATTATTTAGGCACGAGCTGATATCCGAGTAGAGTCAGCCAACTTAATGGAATAATATAGGCATGAGCTGACAATTTCAGAGGGGAACCTCGGGCTTTCCGTGAAGGAACTGAATTGACTAATACACCTTCCCCAAGCAAGCTGAATATAAACTGGTATCCGAGTAGAACCACAAACCTTCCGTGAGCGAACCGAATTTAATTATTTAGCCACCAGCTGACATCTTAGTAGAACCACATGCGATGACATCACAGTATAAACCTCAGTCCTACTGTAAGCCATCTGAGCTTAATAGGTGACATTTGAGTAGAACATCGGGCCTGCTGTCAGCTAAGTGAATTTAACTATTTGGCCTAAGCTGATATCCGAGTAAACCACGGACCTTTCGTAAGATAAATAGTACCAAACTTTGCTTAAGAGGTATTAGACTCAGATAGTTTTGAAACTTGGCTTACAAAACGTGGCGTAATATTTCAATTTTTTTCAACAATTTCCCTATAAATCGTCCATTTATAAACTGGTTGAATGAAGCAATTGTCTTTTGCATGAAAGCTGGCTTCTATATTTTATTTTACTATCTTAATTGGATTTAATTGATTTGTCAATCATAAAGATAATTTAAGGCTTACCTGTGGTATTTTTGTTGCTTGAAATAATCTATTACTATATAAATCCTAATTCTGCATCTCAAAAATTTTGATCCAAGTCCGCTGAAGTGAGAAATAAGACACAAGATAAACGCAGATCTTATTAATGGGGAAATTTTGCAGAACACTGTTTTATTCTAATGTAGTCAAATGTTTGTGAACAAGAGAGTCATGATGACCCTTATGTCGCTCACCTGATTATAAAGGCTAAAACTGTCATGGAGAAATTAATTTTACAAGTTATGAATGAAAAGCAGATATTGATTCTAATCTTAATCTGATAATTTTCACGCAGTTCATATTTGCATCTGAAATATTGAACATTTAAGATAAAAGTCACCGCAAGGCCGGACCTGTATCGCTCGGCTTTTTCTCTTTTTTTTGCTATGGAAATCACTGGTTGCTAAGTAAAGTCAAAATTTGTTATAGAAATCAATGGTTGCTATGAAAGTTCAATGGTTGCTATGAAAGACATTCACTTGTTGCAATGGAAAGTTAACGTTTGCTTTTGAAAACAGTGGTTGCTATGGAAAGTAATTAATGGTTATTATCTATGTCATAAGTTGCTATAGAAATTAAGGGTTGCTAAGTATTAAAATAACAATGGTCGTTTGGAATGGTTGATAAACATTTAAGGAAAATCCATGATTTTTTGGGTGGGGCCAATATAGACCCTGATTCTATAATTTGAACTTGCTAGAATTTACAAGACAATAGTTCATGCCAATAGTTCATAAGCTTTAATCTCGATGTTTTTATAGTTGATTAGTTTAATCTTAACTATAAAAATGTATACGCGTATGTAAAAAAATCTAAGACCCCAGGGGCTGTTCAATTGAGACCTCCGGACTACAATTTGAACAAACCTAATAGTGGTCCACAAAACAATATTTCATGCAAAATATCGGAGCTTTAGCCTTTATGATTTTAGAGAATTAGATATCTATTTGGTTTACTACATACATATAAAGACAATCTACACCCCCGGCAAACCAGGGAAATTTTGACCCCCAGCTATAATTTGTATAAACTTGTTTGAGGAACACATGCAAAACACCTCAGCTTTAGGCCCTCGTGAATTGAAATGATTTTTTTAAAGTTTTATATGTTAATCAAAATCCATGACCCCCCATTTAATCCAACAGCTATAATTTAACAAACTTGATTGATTTCCACTAAAGTATGTGTCTTGACAAATATCTAAGATTAAACCTTCATTGTATAAGGGAAGACTATCTAAAATGTTACCCATATACATTTAAGGAAAATCTAAGACACCCCCCACCCCCTCCTCCGTTGGGCAAACATTGACCCAAGGACTTTAAATTAAACATACTTGGTACAGGTAAACTAGACAGTATTGATTGATTTAGAAAAGATAACTTTTTTAATTATAAGAAGAAAATTATGCTCCCCCATCCAACCACCAGACTGAGTCAGTTTAGACCCTAGGGCTACTATATGGTTTAAAGGAAACTGGTTGACAGGTCAGCATTTAATGTTATTAAAGGAGACACTTTTAAAAGTAATTAATAATTTAAAGAGTCTGGCAATTAAATTGTTACAAAAAATAAAAATCTAACGAGAATATTTCTGAAAATAAGAAAAGAAAAACAATCTTTAAATATTTTTGAAATTAATAAAATGTATAGGAGATAATAGACGGTTAATTAATAAACTGTGTTCACCTATGTATACAATTACATGCACTATGTTTAAAAAATATTTTATTTTGATTAAAAAAAAATCTATTTCGGGAATAAAAATTCATGGTAAATATTAATTAAAAAGTTAATTTATTTATATCAAATATATTTTCAAGAAAAAGTTAATAAGAGTATTGTTCACTGTTAATAATATATTTCAGTTCTTTTATATGCATGTATATAAAAAATAATAATAATAATAAATATTCAATATAAAATCACTTACCTGTTAAATATTTCCATATCCTAATCCAACTTTTATATCCATTAAATTCCGTAAAAACTTCCTTAAATTATTTCTATTAATTAAATGTTTTTATTTATAAACAATTGTCACTTAATTTATTAATTGAAAACGGAAGTACATGTATGTCCTTATTAAAGATTGAAGAGTCGCCATTTTGTTTCTAAGTGTCCATATTAAAATTGTTTTAATTATTTAAAATAATTGAATTAATTTCTTCAATTTATTTCACAATGCTTTTTTTTGTCTACAGTATTCTTTGCTTGGTTTTATTGTTTTGAACTTTAACAGCTCCCCGTCGTGTATCACATGACAAATTTGTGAACTCCGAATATTTTCTCTAACACGGTCATATTCTGTTTCCGGTTTAATGCGTCTCATCTTTACTGTAACTGACTGCGGCAGATTTTCCAGCACGGTGAAAAAGTTCTGTAAACTTACTGCAGACATTTCTATACCACACAACTCCACACGTTCAATATTCAACATGTCACGTGACAGTAACAATGAAGTTTCATCTAGACTGATGTCATCCAACCAAACATCATCTAATGACGGTGTTGATATATTTAATTGAAGCCTCCCAGGTAATTGCTGCAAGTCTAACTTTGATAGAGTTGATTGTTGAGACAAGTCCAAGTTCAATCTCTTACAATCACGGCGGCCATGTTCTTTACAGTTTAACCAATTCAATGTCAACTCTTTCATTGATTTTTGACCGGAGATAAAATTGAGAAATTTTTCCAGTATTTTGTGAGATAATGTGAAGTTGTCAATATATAAATATTGTAAGTTTTGACATCGCGCCATGTTTTCACTCCGAATTTCTTCATCATTTGTCCATGTACCCGACCTCAAAGTTAAGGACTGTAAACTGGGAAACAATATCAGATTGATCTCAGCTTCCTTTTTCCTGTTACCACCATAGAGAAGCTTCTGTATATGTCTGAGATGTTTGAGAAAGAATAAATCTATAATTTCACATAAACTGCTGGAAGTCAAGCTGATGTCTATATAAAGTGATTTTATGTTGGTTTTATTTTGTTTTAACAAACAATGTTGTAACTGCCCACTGTGCACGGTGCTCCTGACAATGAAGAAATCTTGTAAACATAATTGAATATTTTTACTTATAGGCATTTCTTGTAAACACGACATGAACATTTCCTGTATGTTATACAATGGAGTAATGTACTTTAAGTACTCGTCATCTGTCCTAGTTCTAAAGTCGCGTGTTTTCTCGTCTTCATTTATCACAGACATAAAATCATTTGAAATTGCACATATCAGGTCAGCATTCATTTTACTTATAAATTCACAAATTTTTGACATGTCCAGAATGTCTTGAATATTTCTGCATTTTTCTACAATAGTTTTCTGAGCGTCACTTTGAGAACCTATAAATATGGCGGCAAAGTATTCTTGCACTGTTTTGTGGGAAAACGATACTCTGATAATTTCTTTGATTAAAGTTTTACTTCTACTTTCTGACAATATTCCTGAGAGAAGACTTAATTTCATGTGGTCTGCTTTCAGATATTTTTCAGCAACCGTTCTATCAAATACAAGCGTGTTTTCTCTGTTTTTGTTAAATAATGTTTGGTAAGCTAGTTCTGCTAATGATGTTATAAGGCTGTAAAACTTTTTACAAAATTCATGACTTTTGAAGTAATCTGGAATTTCACAGGCAGACGATTCACGAGATGGTTGAACTTCCGGGTGTTTCTTTGACGTTCTCGATAATAGAAATTCAATGATATTGGTGTAAATTTCATGTTTTGACTCTCCTATGGGAATGTTGTTACACCATAGGCATACTATATACATAAGGAGGAGTGGAATTTCTTGCATGTGCTCTAGGCGACGGTCACGTATCACTTTATTAAAGTCCTGTCTTTTACTCTTCAATACTCTATCGTTATGGACACCTGTCATTTTCCTTATAGCATTTTCTTCAAGTTTCCGCGTAGAATCTGCACTTAATTGAACCAATTCTACTTTTTTGTTTATTTGACTTGTTTTGAGATTTGCGACTCCAAGCTTCCACGGTCGGGTTGTCGTTAGGATAACACAATTATCACGTACATAACGATGTGGGATTTTTTCTGATACTTCGCCACAACTATTTACAGGGTGAGTCCATTCGTCAAGACCGTCCAATATAATCAAGCATTTTTCTCTACGTAAAACTTCATATAGTGTTGCAGAGGAAGGAATTTTCTTGGTAATTTGCTGTTCGATCATATCGTCAATGTTACAAACAGATGTACAGTCTCTTAATAAAACCAAAAACAAGAACTTAAAGTCAAATAACGTCTTTAACTCGTCGTCTTTAAAACAGGCATAGTTTTCATCGTGGCAATGAGCTTGACACCACGTGATTGCAAGATATTTTGAAAAAGCAGTTTTTCCAAAACCTGCATCAGCTGATAGATAAATTTCTTGTTGATCTCCACTTCCGGTTGAAAACAGGTCTTTCAAAGACTTGATCGGTGTTCTTTCCTCCTCATGACAAGTTAGGGATTTCTGTTTTACGGCGACTATATCTGGCATCACGTAGAACCCAGCTAGAGGTGTCTCTATTTCTTCAAGAAGCGGTGAGAGAGGTATTGAACTACACCTTTTTCTGTAGAATTTAATCAGGTCGCCTTGAAGTTCTGAAAAGAGAGTAGAAAAAAGTGTTAATCAGTGACAATCTTTCTATATAATATACAAACTGCTGAGGTGTTTACTAACTTCAATTTTCCATGGTTATTAACAAAATAATGCATACGGCGAATAAGAAGTAGATATGTAACACTATATTCAGATGGTATGTTTAACTTAACAATGCATAATTATAGCTAAACCCTGTTTAAATAATTGCATGAATTCATATACAATCCATCGTTATAATTAATACATTGTATGCTTGAAAATAAACATTTTCTTTCTTCATTCCAAAGAATTAATGGGAGAGGGTGTGGACAAGCTTAAGAAGAACATATTTCTTCCATAGTTCATTACATTAAAAATATGAAAACAAATCGTTATCACGAAGGGGGCGGAGATTTTTACTCGAAACAGGAAGTAATTCCATCATTTTAATTTTGCCTTATCGGAATTCCTCGGCTATTATTCATAATCAGACTTAATTCGCACCTTGTTTGATTTTATTAGATCAAAGCACACAATATAAAGATATACTGTAGATTTTCGGCAAAGCACCTTATTATATGTGTTTACATTTATTTGTTTCTGTGAAATACATGTAGTTATACTGAGCGTTGTAACGCAATAGGGAGATTGTTTGTTTGTTTGTTTGTTTCATTTTACGCCTTTTTCCAACAGTATTTCAGTCATATAGGCGGGTATTTTCCTAACCATCGTTCCTGGAGAGTTACACCAGTACTAGACTACCTTCCTCCGCGCTAAACAACCAAAGCATCTCCCGGGGATCGAAACCACGCCAGAGAGTTAACTCGATTAGAAGTCATCGACTCTAATCCATCGACCACGGAGGCGGTTACTAGCTGGTTTGTTTTACATTTTTGCAAATATTTAGTCATTTCTATTAAAAATACTTCAGAAATAAATAAAGAAAAAAAACTATGACAACAGTTATCATCTGACCACTGACCAATCGTATACCAGGCAATCACTTAACAGGATGTGATAACTACTTATATACTGTGACTTTTCAAAACATTATTTAAATATTCCATATTAATTATCGTTAACTACATAGATATAACCAAAGTTGGATCAAATATTTAAATTAATCTTAAAATGTATTCATATCTGACAGGTCAATAAAATCAGACTATAAAAGTATTTCTACCACGTGGTTTTATATGTAAAATACAGGGTGTAATCTTTTATAAAGAACAGGAATTCAAAAAGTCAGTTTCGGTAAAATTTTGATTGAAAATGTCTGACAACCTTGTTAAAATCAAATTGTAAACATACTCGACCCTATGTCAACAGCTTTCGATTTCTTTAACTATAAGCTTAATAATGCATTGTTTACTTTTATATCTATGAATTTACTTAATTTCGGCAGACTTATACTTGATATATTGGGAGAAAAAAACTAAGTTGTAAACTTTAAAAACTCGATACTGTCTTTCATTTGAGAAAGATACAAAGTCACATACAATAACCATTTAATTAATTATCAAGCCTGTTATGCATGTTTGAAAGCGAGGAGATCGAGTTTTTCATTTATCTGCTATTTTACCTCTGCAAATTACAGGACAAAGGGAGTTAAGATTTTTTAAAAATCGTCACTTAATATGATTTGTATAGACCTTTTCACGACGCGGTCCGTTGCTATGAAAAATCGATCGGAAGTAGTATTTTCTCGCGCATGCGCAATCTGCGTAGGGCAAAAAATGCATCGCCCTACATAGAAATGTAGTAGAAGTTTATAGACAATTCCGAGTTAGTTCAAGGAAAAAGTAGAAAATTATATAAAACAGCTTTTAACAAAAGCACAAAAGATGCCTTTTCAGCTTTTTGGCCAAGATTGCCATAAAATGCAAGAAATAAAGATTGTTTGAGAATTCCGCCTTACGATCGCGAACCTGACATTTAGATTATTGTTGTAAAAAAGTGGAAATCTATTAGCAAATATAGACTACAATTAATTGATTTGAAATAGTTCATACAAAAAACTAAAGAAATTTTATAACATATGAAATTGAGGTAAATTATCTCTCTGAAAAAAGTCAGAACACGTGAAAATGCATTTTTAGTTTTCAGTTTACCTGATTTTATCCTTTATCTGATTGGTCTGCGATGACAAACAAAAACTTTTTAAGTCACATAAATATATTTAAATATTTTTTTCAAATCTTAAGTTATAAGATGGGTAGTGAAATAACACACATTTTTTTCTGGTTCCTCGTAACACATAAATGCTCGTCTTTACAAAATAAATAAACATTGATTAGATTGCTATATGTAAAAGTTATTTAATTGCGATTTTCATAATTTTACGTAATTAACTATATGTCATTGTTCTAAAACTCCCCGGTTGAATGATCTTGTAAACTTGTCGGAAGAAACAACCGACCACGTGCACGTGTCAATCTGTTTGACACTTACCGCCTTGCAAATCCACCTACAAGTGTACAATGCCAATTGTGTATATTTTATGTAACACAGGGGTAATGAAATTTTATCTTTAACACCCTGCTGTTTCAATTCAAATTACTACCACAAAAGTCGTTTTAATGATACCTTAAATAGAGCACTTCTGTATGCTGTTTTGATCATTGAATTATTAATCCCGCATATTTCCGTATTTCTGTTAAATGATAAATTATATGCAATTGGGCTGAGTCAAAACTCACACTATTTTATTTTAAGGGACTTCTTTCTTATGTTTCTTTTAGCTCCAAATCTGACAGTCATTATTTCAGTTATTCACTTCATGCACTATGTGTTTTATTCTGAAAAAAGTTATTTCATAAAAATAATGTGCTGAGCATGTATACATGTAAACAGCGATCGACAGTCTTGACGTCACAGAACAATCGCAACTACTCGGCCCTTTCCGCCAGTCTTCGAATATAGCCGAGGCAGTTCCGAAAGGTCACAGAAACATCGTCCGCCTACCCTTAGCGTGTCGTAAAGCTTCGACATTTTCTACTACGCCGTAGGCTACGACACACAATAACAAAACGGTCCGTACCGGTCTGTGACAAATATTAGCCTGCGACGTGTCGTAGAGCGTTGATAAACGGTGCAGCTGAACACCAAAATTTCGGTTTTGCTCATTATAATCATACCCATATTACAAGATTACTAAAAAATCTTAAATAGAACTAAAATGTAAATACAATTGCTGTTTCAGCACAATTTACAATGTCATCTATACAACAACATTATCATGAATTTCATTTGCCACAAGAATGCCTCTGTGTTTTGGTCGCAGAAAGCGAGATAACTTATTAATATATTAATTCAATTTCATCGTACTAGTTAAGTCCCTTGTCTTATGTCAAATATCGACGGGTTGGTTGCAAATAACTTGCCTTATTTCAAAGCTATTCAGGCTATTGTATCTCATTTGCTGACAGAGTCTATTGAAAAATAGAATATATCATTGGGTTAGATAGTGGATAGGAAATTTCCAACCAGAGGGTAATCGGTTCTTTCGAGAAAGAGCTTTGGCGAATTCCCGACGGAACCGATTGCTCGAGTGTTGGGATTTCCCTATCCTCCACCTAACCCAATGATTCATTATTTTTCTCATTCACCTGGACACACAAGAAACTTTATATTAAAATCAATGAAATTACTTCTTATACGCATTACAACCTTGTTTTAAAAGAGGCTTAGGAAGTCAGTACATACTTCAATGGTTAACAAAAAACCTTTTTACCGTTAACTTTTTTCAGTGATTTTGGCAAAATATTCAATTAAAGTAAAAATTGAAATGAGATTCGCCATCAAGAAGCAACGCTATCATTACAAAAGAACATGAATGTTTTCTAGGAAAAGTGACAAAATATCAGTTTTGTGAAATTTTAAGGTGTGCTTTTTTTAGTGTGCTATTTTAAGGTGTGTTAATTTTAGATCGATAGGAAAATTTTGGACTCATTGAAGCGTGAAAGATATTTGAATTTATTTCTATTCTGTGGATAATGTCATACTTTTCTTACGTTTCATTTCTGTCAAAAAAAGAGTGAGTATCGCATATGTGTAGGGGGAGTGAGACATTATATGTTATTTTGGTTTTTGAGTGATATATGTGGATATAACAGTTTATTTCAAATTTGCATTAACGCCACCGGCCCATACACATGTATACATAATATATATATATATATATATATATATATATATATATATATATATATATATATATATATATATATATATATATATATATATATATATATATATATAAACACAATAGCATAATGAACATGGCAGCTAGTTAGGATAATATAACATCGCATAATATACAGATTTACATAGAGTTGTATAAAGAACAATGACATGTTGTCAGAGCAGCATTTTAGCCAATTTTCACAAAACATATAATTATGTAATAAGATTTAGCAACTGACATCAGGGTATTTAAGATAAAGATTCATTTCGCAGTTTAAATGCATAATATAAAAACATTGATAAGTTTCGTATTGTCTTAACACTTTTGCATGACATTAATAAGTTAAATTTATGATTATTTGGATGTTCCCAATACTTATTTGGTATAAATTGTTGACGTAGATTATCATATAAAGGACATTTTAACAGAAAATGAAATTCGCAATCAATTTCATATCGACAGTGTATACAAAAACGGATTTCCCTTGGAATACCAATATGTCTTCCTTTCTCTATCCTCAATTGATGAGAAGATGACCTAAAAGCAGCAAGACTACTCCTAAATTTCAATATATCTATACAGTCCAGATATTTTTCAAAATTAATATTACATTTAAAATTTCTATAGAATACTAGCTTTCTGTTTTCTAAACACTCACTGTTCCAATTTTGCATGTATTGATCTTTTAATCTATTTACATAAAGGGTAAGGAATAAGTTTGCATTTTCAACCTTTTGTTGTTCCCAAATATAGCCAAAACCATTCTTATAGAGATTTAATCGTAGAGTTGTCACCCAATTTTTATAACCTAGTTCATCTAACCGTTTAAGCATAAAATAACTTTTTTTAACATATCTCTCATCATCCATATATAAAATCCGTATCCAAAATTTAATACATCTTTTTGTTGCATATATATACATTGGGTATCTTCCACAATCTCCCATTACAACTGCATTACACGACTTTAAAGAAATATTCATAAATCTCTTACATGCATATATTTGAACACGTTCTATACAATCCCTAACTTCAAGTCCCCATATTTCTGACCCATATAACAAAACAGGACATATTTTTGAGTCAAAAATTTTAAAATAAGATTTACCTGACATTGGTAAAAGATTATACATATTTTTTAAAAGGATAACTAATACTTTTTTTGCTTTTATAGCTAAATTTTCAGACATTTTATACAATGATAATTTACTAGTGAAATTTAAAGATCCTGTAACACATTATTTTTATGGTTTTATATACAAATTATGATGCTCAAATAAAGATTTATCGATATTGTAAGTTTCAAAAAACATTATTTATAAAGATATTACCGAATTTAATATTTCATGTAAATAAAGGGAGGTAATTAGAATTTAGTTTTCTATAAATTCTAAGTCAATTTTTCCAATAAGAAATGAATGCATATAATTTAATGATTACCTTAAATATGTACAAATATTTGCAATACATATTTTACATATTCTTCCATGTTTGAAACTTGACAAATTTGCATAATTACATACATATATAATTCAATGAAGAGTGGTATGCAATCTCAATTACAAAACATACAGGATCTTTAAACCCACATAGGTAAAGGCATTTACTGTTTCAATAAGGTTATCTTTATAAAACCATTTTTCTCGTTTAGATAGGTGACCTCCGTTTTTAAAAACAACAATTTTCGTTTTTTCAACATTTACATTAAGTTTCCATTCTAAACAATATTTTTGAAGACCGTTGAGTTGATTTTGTAAACCTACGATGGTATCTGAAATCAAACCTACATCATCTGCAAACATTTAAAGAAAAATTTCAATACCTCCAGGTGATAACTGCACACCATGAGTAGCATTTTGTCTCAAAAAAGACTCCAAATCATTAATAAATAAGCAAAACAAAATTGGACTGAGCTTACATCCTTGTCTTAAACCTAGAGGGCATTCAAAGCAATCAGTTAAATTATTATTACTACTTTTGACACATGCTTTTACTGATTTATATATACTCTGTATAGCAAAAAGTAATTTACCTTTAAAACCATGTTGGTACAATGCATAATAAAGCTTTGATCTATTTACAGAATCAAATGCCTTCTTGAAATCTATAAAGGCTACATAAACCTTTTTACCTTTCATACCTAAATATTTACTCACTATTGAATATAATACAAAACCATTATCAATGGTCGAATATCCACTACGAAAACCTGATTGAGCTTCAGTAATTTTATGTAGAGCCTCAGAGTAAAAAGTTACACGTGTTGTTAATATACTAATATATAGCTTACTAAAATATCTAAAAGAGCAATACCTCTCAAGATTTTATATCACCCGAGCCGTCAGGCGAGGGTGATATTTTATCTTGGCAGGTAATATATCCACATATATCACTCCAAAACCAAAATTATAATTTTATTACCCTTCCCCTGTCGAGCTTAGATGATTTTAAAATAAATCATTGCTACTTCAAATGAAACGTCGAAATAAGCTTCCCTTTGGGGTACCCCTTCACTACAACATGACGTCACATAAATACATGACGTATATTCTTTCGAACGTAACGAATGTAAACAAGTGAAAAGGAGTAGTCTGTTGAACGCACTTTTTTGATATCAATATCAAGCTTCACAAGGTCATATTTGTTTTCAATACTGAATACAGATGAGAATATGTATCATTGCTCTATTTTGGTAAAAATTTATCATTTTACAGTTAAAAAGTGCCTGTAAATCGGAATTTACATCGTGTATGATCAAACCGTACGCGCATCGCCACAGCGCATGTTGTTTACAACGTGGGGTACCCAACGGGGAAATTTAGTGTGTATATTACCCGTCTGGCTCGGTAATATCAATTTCTTTCGGGTGATCAATATCCAATCAAAAAGGCGGAAAAAATCTGGAAGGGTAATAAATGCCCATGTGAGCACCGCTATTTTTAGTAACATTTGCGGATTCCTATCTGGTAAGTGAGAAACCGTTATATCAAACTTGCGGACAGATACCATAAATACAGTTATATAAAACTTGCTGACACAAGATATAAACACCGTTATACCACAAGATATAGATACTGTTAAATCCAACTTGCAGATATAAACTATAACTTCCGTTATATTAAACCTGCCAACACACGCTATAGAAAACGTTACATCCAACTTGCAGATATAAACTATAACTTCCGTTACATCAAACCTGCCACTACAAGCTATAGATACCGTTACATCCAACTTGCAGACATAAACTGTAACTACCGTTATATCAAACCTGCCACCACACGCTATAGATAATGTTACATCAAACTTGCAGAAATAAACTGTAACTACCGTTATATCAAACCTGCCACTACAAGCTATAGATAACGTTACATCCAACTTGCAGAAATAAACTATAACTACCGTTATATCAAACCTGCCACCACACGCTATAGATAACGTTACATCCAACTTGCAGAAATAAACTATAACTTCCATAATATCAAACCTGCCACTACAAGCTATATAGATAACGTTACATCCAACATGCAGAAATAAACTATAACTACCGTTATATCAAACCTGACACCACACGCTATAGATAACGTTACATCCAACTTGCAGAAATAAACTATAACTTCCGTAATATCAAACCTGCCACTACACGCTATATAGATAACGTTACATCCAACTTGCAGACATAGACTATAACTACCGTTATATTAAACCTTCCACCACAAGCTATAAATATCATTATATCCAACCTGCAGTCAGAGGCTATAACCACCGTTATATCAAACCTGCCAATACAAGCTATAGATAATGTAAAATCCAACTTGCAGACAGACTATAACTACCGTTACATCAAATCTGCCACCACAAGCTATAGATATTATTATATCCTCCTTTTAGTCATAAGCTTGAACTGCCACTGTGAATACCCCCGCATACCACTTTGTCAGAATCAACAGTGGTCATTAAGAGCTCAAGGACAACCTCCCTGCCAAATCTGAGGTTAACAAGAGCCATGTCAACATGGCCATCCCCTGCCGAATGTGTTTGCTCATTGGAAGAATGTATATGTAGTAGAGCAGAATAATTCCATTTTAAGAGGTCTTTTGGTAATGAAAACTGATGGCTATAGTGATTACAGATTTGAAACCTATGTGAATACTGATGGCTGAAAATAACAAAGGGCAATAACTGAAAAATAATGCAGGGTAGGTTATCATTCTTGTGTGCTGCATCCCTCCTCAGTAAAATCTATCCACCTATGAAGTTTCAAGTTATCTGTCAATACTAATTTATTGTCTGTTACAATCCTCAAATAAGTTTTCTTTCTTTTAAAAAGGTGTATGACTAATAAATCCAAATGATATCCCTCTGAATCAAACAGAATTATTTTCCTACCTTGAAATGCGCAACTTTTAAAAATGACGACCGCTTACATTTAACAAAGCCAAGTCTAATATAAATTCGCAGTAAGTAACAGAAATATGGATGGATGGTTGGACTTTTTCTCCTACTAGAATTGTTTGTTTTTATTATAAAAACAAACGATCATTCATTTTTTTTCCATAAAATGAATAATATCACCGCCTTTTAACGTTGATTGTCGAACTTTTTTTCAGCCCAAAACTTCTTGTATTTAATGAGAAATTCGACTTTCTTGAGGCTATCAATGGGGAAAACAGATTTCAATATTAAAGTTAATATAAAGGAAATTTTATTTTAACTTGTTTTTAAGCATAAAATAAAAAGAAAATTTGTTTGTTTGTTGTGTAAGATGTAATTTTAAATTCATCTCGTGAACTTTAAAAACAGTATTCTCACACGTGGCTACGCCACTCGTGAGAATACTGTTTTTAAAGTTCCAGCAAACCAAACTCTGGAGCACAATCGAAAAACATGATTCATGTGAAAAAATATTTGAAAAACATATACATATGTACCATAAATGTAACATACAGTGTCCTTTTCTTGGAGAAACTCTGTTTCCTACCATATGAAAATCATATGTTATTCATGTGTATCCATATAAAACACATATGAAAAACCTGTGTTTGCACCATATGTAAAACATATGGGGTACTTTTCTTGTAGAAACCGTATGTTTCTACCAGATGTAAAACATGTGTGTCACATACGTTTAACATGTGGTGCATATTTACTTATATGTAATGACGGAAGGGCGGGGGCATAAACATATCGTTTGTGATCTCACCTTTTCTGCCATACTACGCACCGGTATTGAAATACCGCTCAAACTGATATCATTTCTTAAATATAGCATAACATGTTTGAAGTTCCTTGTGCAATACCACTGACTTTTATCCTAAGCTAAACATGGCCTACTTACGTATCAAACAAGAACCAACAAAGGGGAATATTGTAGAAGGCGCACTTTAAATCATTTCTGTAAAAGTTGATATTTATCGATAATTTGGGTCAGGTGGATATGTTGTTTACAGACAATGATTAGAAAAAGGCGTAAAATGAAACAAACAAACAAACAGACAATGATGGAACAACCGACATGCTTGCAGTCACAAATGTTCACCTCTGAACACAGTGCGCACGCAATCGTAACACAATTGACTTACCACCTCTGCGTTTGATATACTCTGGACATAACACTGCAGTTTTCTCAAGCCGGCTTTCAATCTCTTTTGTGTCCTGTCCATTTTCTGCACAAACTATAAGGTCTAATAAGTCAGTCTGCCAGGTCTTTCTTAGACGCTCTTTAAAATCTGTGTAACCTTTAGCACCTTTGAATTTTACTTTTCTCAATATCGTCTCATTCTTATCAGTTGGGTCCTTACCCTGTAACATTTTATTTTATCAATAAGTTTCACAATTGTTTTATTTCTTTATAAATTAAATGTTGATAACAATACGTTCGGTACGCGTTTAATTTGTGTTTCGAAAGTAAGAATAAGATAAGTGTTACAAAGTTCAATTTTTGAAATAGCTAATGCAAAATGATAAGGTATTTTTTTTTTTAAAAAATATCATAAATGTAAGTTCCAAGCATGAAATAAGATAATTCCCCAAATGCCTTAGTAATTATATTATAATCAACAAAGTAAACAAGAGGGCCAAGATGGCCCTAGATCGCTCACCTGACCCATCGAACTCATCCGAACAATTACTTAGACAAGAATTCTGACCAAGTTTTATGACAGGTGAGTCAAAATGTGCCCACTAAAGTATTAACAAGGATTATCCATATTTGAGCAGTGTGACCTAGTTTTTAACCCCAGGTGACCCATATTCGAGCCTGACCTAGAAAACATCAACAACAAAAAAATTAGACAAATTTCCAGGATATTTGGATCAAAACAGTAGCCACATCAGTGTTAACACGATTTTTCTATTTTTAGCTCTTGTGACCTAGTTTTTCATTCGAGATGATCCATGTTCAAAGTTATCCGAGCAATTACCTAGACAAGCATCCTGACCAAGTTTGATGACAACTGAGTCAAAAATGTGACCACTACAGTGTTAACAAGGATTTTCCATATTAGGGCGGTGTTATCTAATTCTTCATCCGAGATGACCTATGTTCGAACTCATTCGACCAATTACCTCAACAAGGATCCTGATCAAGTTTGATGACAATTGAGTCAAAAATGTGAGCACTAGAGTGTTAACAAGGTTTTTCTATTTTTAGCTCCTGTGACCTAGTTTTTCATCCGAGATGACCCATGTTCGAACTCATTCGAACAATTACCTCAACAAGAATCCTGACCAAGTTTAATGATAATTGAGTAAAAAATGCGACGACAAGAGTGTTAACAAGGTTTTCCCATACTTGGGCGGTTTGACCTAGTTTTTGACCCCGGGTGACCCATATTCGAACGTGACCTAGAAATCATCAAAAAGTCTTTCAGACCAATTTCCAGGATATTTGGATCAAAACAGTAGCCACTAGAATGTTAACAAGATTTTTCTACTTATAGCTCTTGTGACCTAGTTTTTCATCCGAGATGATCTATGTTCAAAGTTATCCGAGCAATTACCTAGTTGAACATCCTGACCAAGTTTGATGACAACTAAGTCAAAAATGTGACCACTAAAGTGTTAACAAGGTTTTTCCATATTTGGGCGGTGTGATGTAGTTTTTGACCCAAGGTGACCCATATTCAAACTTGACTTAGAAATGATCAAAAAAACTTTCAGACCAATTTCCATGATTTTTGGATCGAAACAGTAGTCACTAGAGTGTTAACAAGATTTTTCTATTTTTAGCTCTTGTGACCTAATTTTTCATCCGAGATGACCCATGTTTGAACTCATTCGAACGATTACCTCAACAAGGATCCTGACCAAGTTTGATGACAATTGAGTCAAAAATGTGAGCACTAGAGTGTTAACAAGGTTTTTCTATTTTTAGCTCCTGTGACCTAGTTTTTCATCCGAGATGACCCATGTTCGAACTCATTCGAACAATTATCTCAACAAGAATCCTGACCAAGTTTGATGATAATTGAGTAAAAAAAATGTGACGACTAGAGTGTTAACAAGGTTTTTCCATACTTGGGCGGTTTGACCTAGTTTTTGACCCCAGGTGACCCATATTCGAATGTGACCTATAAATCATCGAAAAGTCTTTCAGACCAATTTCCAGGATATTTGGATCAAACAGTAGCCACTAGAGTGTTAACAAGATTTTTCTATTTTTAGCTCCTGTGACCTAGTTTTTCATCCGCGATGACCCAAGTTCTAATTCATTCGACCAATTACCTCAACAAGGATCCTGATCAAGTTTGATGACAATTGAGTCAAAAATGTGACCACTAGAGTGTTAACAAGGTTTTTCTATTTTTAGCTCCTGTGACCTAGTTTTTCATCCGAGATGACCCATGTTCGAACTCATTCGAACAATTACCTCAACAAGAATCCTGACCAAGTTGAATGATAATTGAGTAAAAAATGCGACGACAAGAGTGTTAACAAGGTTTTCCCATACTTGGGCGGTTTGACCTAGTTTTTGACCCCGGGTGACCCATATTCGAACGTGACCTAGAAATCATCAAAAAGTCTTTCAGACCAATTTCCAGGATATTTGGATCAAAACAGTAGCCACTAGATTGTTAACAAGATTTTTCTACTTTTAGCTCTTGTGACCTAGTTTTTCATCCGAGATGATCTATGTTCAAAGTTATCCGAGCAATTACCTAGTTGAACATCCTGACCAAGTTTGATGACAACTAAGTCAAAAATGTGACCACTAAAGTGTTAACAAGGTTTTTCCATATTTGGGCGGTGTGATGTAGTTTTTGACCCAAGGTGACCCATATTCAAACTTGACTTAGAAATGATCAAAAAAACTTTCAGACCAATTTCCATGATTTTTGGATCGAAACAGTAGCCACTAGAGTGTTAACAAGATTTTTCTATTTTTAGCTCTTGTGACCTAATTTTTCATCCGAGATGACCCATGTTTGAACTCATTCGAACGATTACCTCAACAAGGATCCTGACCAAGTTTGATGACAATTGAGTCAAAAATGTGAGCACTAGAGTGTTAACAAGGTTTTTCTATTTTTAGCTCCTGTGACCTAGTTTTTCATCCGAAATGACTAATGTTTAAACTCATTCGAACAATTATCTCAACAATAATCCTGACCAAGTTTGATGATAATTGAGTAAAAAATGTGACGACTAGAGTGTTAACAAGGTTTTTCCATACTTGGGCGGTTTGACCTAGTTTTTGACCCCAGGTGACCCATATTCGAATGTGACCTAGAAATCATCAAAAAGTCTTTCAGACCAATTTCCAGGATATTTGGATCAAACAGTAGCCACTAGAGTGTTAACAAGATTTTTCTATTTTTAGCTCCTGTGACCTAGTTTTTCATCCGCGATGACCCAAATTCTAATTCATTCGAGCAATTACCTAGTCAAGCATCCTGATCCAGTTTGATGATAATTGAGTTAAAAATGTGACCACTAGAGTAATATCAAGGTTTTTCTATTTCTAGCTCCTGTGACCTAGTTTTTCACCCGAGATGACCCATGTTCGAACTCATCTGAGCTATTACCTAGACAAGCATCCTGACAAAGTTTGGTGATGATTGAGGCAAACATGTGACCGCTAGAATGTTAACGAACAAGTGTGGACGGACGATGTACATTCAACGATCCTAAAAGCTCATCCTGAGCTAGCCAAGGTGAGCTAAAAAATTCACCATTGTCACAGATGTCATAAAGTACTGACAATTGGATAAAGTAAACTAAACTTTACTGGTCTTTAAACTATTTTATATCGTACCTGGATATTCCTTTTGTCTGCGACGGTAAGTAATTCAAAGCCTGTCTCACAATCAATTATGGGATCCGGATGCAAATACTTCTTGACCGCCACATAATTCTTATCTATGGCTTTACGGAAAATCTCATTATCACAAGACTCTGCCATCTCCAGCTTTCTTAAATATAGATTAAAAATTCATCATTTATTAAACAAAGTATGGATTGCTTGACAACATGTTTAGTGTATTAAAGATATATCGCCTTTCAGATGATTTCTATACACCGTGTATATCCAGTAACGAAGAAATGTGCAAATAACGCAGGAATTGTGCAAAAATAACGCAGAATTGTGCAATTTAGTGGCTTAAACGAGCACAGCGATAAGTAAATGGACTAATATTTTTTATTGGACACCAAATTGGAAGAAACGAGTTAGCGCATACGGTTGCTGAGACATTATACTTTAAACCTGATAATGTTTATTTTTCAAGTTCATTCGTGAAAATGACGATCTGACTAGCGTATTGATGGCGATTTTTAGTTTTGTTGATATCTTTAAATACAGTAACGTACTTATAACTTTATGATTTTATATATATTAGGTGTTACCCCGTATACCTGAGACATTTTCCAATTTACTCGGGTCATATTACACTAAATTTAGCACAAAAAAACCCTAATTGAGACCATTTTTACGAGGTTACGCAAAATTCGTAAATGAAGCACTGAATCAACTGCGGTTATCTCATTAAAAGTAGCTATATCCTATTTAACATGCTTCCTTCTATTGTTATACGACACTTGTAGTTTAACAAATGTCTTGTGTATACAGAATATGAAAAAATGTTTGAATGTGTTAAATGTATATATTTATTTGACAAAACACAAAAGACAGTTTCAAAACGGTAATCAGGTTGTCTTTCCCACGAATGATCTAAGAAAGTAAACAAATTCCTGAAAAACATGTTATGCTGGTTAAAGTATAATGTAGAAGCAGCCGTATGCGCTAATTCATTTCTTTGAATTTGATAAAGAATAAAATATTTTGGTTCGTTAACTTACTGTGTTATTCGTTTTGGCAATAGCGTTGCACAGCTTCAGCGTTACTTTTACGATAATTGCACATTCCTGTGTTACTGGATGTGCACGGAGCTATAGCTGTACAAATATATACATGTATTAGTATTTCCAAAAATGCTAGAAATCGACGTTTAGCCATGAATATAGAATTAATATTTCTTTTCTTGCCTAAAACCTTTATTGTATGTGGTCAACACATGAAGCCAACAAAAATACTTGATTTACTCTACCATTCCGTTCTTGCCAAAATATTTTGACGCGCGAAGCAAGATTCTGGGATATTTTTGTTCTGGGTCAGAATGTAGGAGATAAGCAGTTTTGCTTATGAGAAAAAAATCGCAATAACAAACACGTACATGTAGTACAATAAGTTAGACTACATGCGTTACTTAATAAGTGCATCAATCGGCAAAAATAATTAGCTCCTTGCGTAATTAACAACAGTTACTTGCTACACGTCTGTGAACATTCTATAAATGGAATATATGTTCTATGCTCCGTCGACTGCTTTGCGACGTGTTTTTCCCCCTAAAACGGACTATAACTGACTCTGCTATATTATAGGTATGATGCAATAACAACATTTATAGTAGTAAACTCGCCAAGAAGAAAGCATTTATATTATTTTTATTTAAGTGCAAGTTTTGGAAAGAAAACAAAATATACTCTTTTTTTGGACTACATTCCCTTATCAGAAATGACATATAGCATAAAAATATTGCAATTTGCTATGCTTATCCTGCAAAAGCCTAAAGACTGGTACTGAGTTCGTACATTGATAATGGTATATTTCAGTTGTACATATAGGTGGTTGGGCGAGGCCATTTAAGCATCCCTCGTTGAAGTTTTTTGACTTCCATTTTCTTATCATGTGATATTCAATCATTCGCTTTGGTTGGCTAAAGGCAGGCGGTGTACAGGTAGAACTGTGTCCAGGAACGGCGATAATTATACTTATAATAAATAAAACAGTGAGAAATATTGTTGAAAGATTTAAATGCTTAAAAAGTGAGAAAAAAATGTGGTATGAAAAAATATCATATTTCACTTATGGCTACCGCCACTCATGAAATATTTACTCATGAAATATTTATTTTCATACCTTTCGATGAAATAAATCCTGTATTTATATATTTAAAAATATTAAATATCCCCTTTTTCTTTCAATTCTCTAACCCGTGTATGATTCGTCCATATGTTGTAACGTACTTGTGTTCCCCAGTTGCAGGAACGCTCTGCTCTCTGTTTCAATAAACGTCATTAAAAATATTGCATTGATATACTTAGTTTACTTACTTAGCGCAATATAAAACATATGGTTTCATTATTAAACAACACTCAGTTACTGCTCGTGTTTAAGGATTCCTAAGTGAAGTTGGCGGCCCAGCGGCCTGGCGGCGTGAAGTTGGCGGCCCAGCGGCGTGAAGTTGGCGGCCCAGCGGCCTGGCGGCGTGAAGTTGGCGGCCTGGCGGCCTGGCGGCGTGAAGTTGGCGGCCTGGCGGCATGAAGTTGGCGGTATGGCGGCCAAAAATCTTAATGTTGTACAAATGTTATTTTAACAATAAAACGGCATTTAATGAAGTTTTAAATATAATTATTGTTATTTAAAGGATATATAAAAGAAAAAATCACTTTCAGAGATTTTTTTTATTTTGTCATTTTTGTGAAGTTGGCGGCCTGGCGGCCAAAAATTTTAGTGTGGTAGAAATGTTGTTTTAACAAAAAACGGCATTTAATGAAGTTTTAAAGATAATTATTGTTATTTAAAGGATATTTAAAAAGAAAAAATCACATTCAGAGAATTTTTTATTTTGTCATTTTTTTGTGAAGTTTGCGGCCTGGCGGCCAAAAATTTTAATGTGGTAGAAATGTTATTTTAACAATAAAACGGCATTTAATGAAGTTTTAAAGATAATTATTGTTATTTTAAGGATATATAAAAAGAAAAAATCACTTTCAGATCACGTTTTTTTCTTTATTTTATAATTTTTGTGAAGTAAGTGACCTCTTAAAATTTTACAGTTATTGAAATGATATAAAAAATGGTATTGAATGAAGTTTTTGTTATTTAAAAGTTATATAAGCAAGGGATCACTTTGAGAGCTCTTTTATCATTTTTGTGAAGGGAGCGGCATAAACTTGTTTTATGTATGGTACGCCTGGGATTCAGGCGTTGATATTTTTTGCTTATTCATTACATACATACGCGTTATTTCATACTTGTTCGTGTTTTTGATAATATCGATCAGCCGAACAGAAGCACATAAGAATGACAGACTTGAACGCAGGCTAATAATGTATGGTGTACAATTTCTGTAACAAATATGAATGGTCCTTTATGAAGTTTTAAAACTTTTTTTTCGGGTCCCATCCAATTTATTCTCCCCGTCCCAACCATGAGTATAAGTCAGGTAATCATCCTTTACTGACTTTACAAAATAACTTTTGCTTACACATTTATTAACAATAACTCATGATTATAGCATGGGGTTATGGTCATACCCTAAATGATTTCCTCCTTGTTATTGAATGAAACTGAAAGGTTGAATGGTCGGGACTCCGATTGCTAGCACAAGTGTAAATTAGTCGTTATTCGGGTGAAAAATGTATTGAATGTTTCCATGTTGTTATATTAACGCTATTATTTGTTAAAGTTCAATACGTGAACTTGTAATTTTTAAACATTGATTTGTTTTAACATTTGTATATGTTGTATGTTGCTTGTATGTAATTGTTTAAATTATTATCATACATCACATGTTTATCAATATATCGTTCTTACTATTGCTGTACTTCAACACTTCATTCTTATGGTGTTGTATATACGGATATTTCCAGAATAAATGTACAGTACCTTTGCTTTCTTATTCAAATTATTAAGGTTTTGCACCCATTTTCGATCTGCATCGCATAATAGTTATACCTCAACACCGCATGAATTATGGTAAAAATACATTTTTGTTACAATGATGCCAATATTTGGAATAGAATCTTATTTTATAACGGTCATACGGTCATATTATTCTCTAACATATTTTAAAAATAAAAACATCACTTGTACACGAAATAAATATCTTTATAACCATATCATTACTTTATTATAGTACTTATTATGCATGTATATTTATAATTAATAAATTAAAGTAGTATTATGGCGAGTGGTAAGCGCGTCAGACTAGTCATCTATGTATCGCTCGCCGTGTGGGCACAAAGCCAGTCAGGGACAAGCCGTAATTTTCTTGAGCAAGACACTTAACACGAAATGAATAATAGAATAAATCATCCAATTTTCTCCTCATAATCAGAACTCTCTAACCACTACGCTGCTCAGTTGTACGTATCCATATCCACTTTCATTCTTCTATATATCAATAAAAATGCAAAGTGAAATAACTGAATAACTTGCACAACCCATTATATCATAATGGTATGACCCGTTAATGTAAACGTTATCGAGTTCGACGTAAACCTTTGTTTACATAACAAAGATTGATAAAAATGCGAAAAAAATATGGAAAGCCATGGCTGTCTTATATTGTTCTTTTCCAATTTATTTAACCATTTGGATAATATATAAGTTCACTTCGACTATATATGAATTGAAAACACCTTCTTATTTAACCGGAATCCATTATGTTAATCCACAGTTACAATATATGAAACCATACCGTCAGTGTATGAAACAGAGTTAGCAATATTTAAGTTGATTTTCTCAATATATGATTCCAGTTCTTCAATATATGGTACCAAAGTAGCCATGTATGGAATCAGATATCCTTATATGAATCCGAATCATCAATATATCAATTAATTTTTTCAATATATGAATCCAATTTATCAATTTATGAAACCAAAGTAGAAATATATAAGTTGGTTATCACATTATATGATACCAATTCTTCAATATATTGTACCAAAGTAGCAATACATGGAACCAGATGTCCTGATATGAAACCGAATTATCAATATATTAATTCATTTTTACAATATATGAAACCAGTTTATTAATGTATGTAACCGAAGTAGCAACTGGTTTCATATATTGAAAAATGAATTAATATATTGATAATTCGGTTTAATACCAGGATATCTGGTT